AACCCCCCGGCTCTCATTCCAAACCTAATTAGTCCCTCGTTAAAAGCAGCGTGCTGTGGCTGTGAGATCTCTGTGTCCGAGCAGCCTGTTTTCCCAGGGAGAGCATGGCTCTGAGGAGGTGTCCCTGAGCCTGAGCTGTGGCTGTGGCTGAGCCCCTGATCTCTCCTGCAGGCTTCCTCTTCCTCAACACCCTGTTCATCCAGCGGGGCCGCCATGAGACCACCTGGACCATCCTGCGCCGCTTCGGCTACGACGACGAGCTGGAGCTGACAGATGACTACCTGCACCCTCAGTGCGTGTCTGGGGTGGCCAGGGGGTCATGTTCCTGTGGTGCATGGCTCGGGATCCCCAGCACCTTGGCTGGATCCTTCTGCACCCCAGGAACTGCTCTATGCCCTTAGGGCAGGGTCAGCTTGGCAGTGCTCACCTTCCCCTCGGGCAGGAGCTGACACATGGGGTTGGGAACGAGCACAACAGGCCTTGGGGCTGCTGATTTAGGCAGACAGGAAGGTGGGGAGTGAAATCCCAGCCTTYCTTTGACATCAGCAAGGAGTTCTTGGAGGCTGCTGTGTCCCCAGCTAAGCGAGGCAGAGCAGCTCTGTCGGGTGCAGTGAGCTGTCAGCACAGCCCTCGCGGCTGATTGTGCAGCTGCTGTCTCTGCTCTGCTCCCTGCCACTCTGGGGATGGGGAGCTGGCAGGAGTGGAAGGCTTTGGCTTGGAGCTGCCTCCTCCTCTTCCCAGGCAGCAGGCTGTGGGGAGGTGACAGGGACATGCTGGTGGATGGCACCCCGGGCACTGCTGTGYCCTGCTGAAGCCCTGGGTGTGAGGCAGTGCGAGGGCACAGCATCTCCCTGGCTGCTTGGGATGTGCCAGGGAAAGGCCACTGTGGATCCTTAGGGGATTCTYCCCGAAATAATGGGGCTGTGGCAAGGAATAGCCAGGTCTGGAGGCAGCAGCTGACCTTGAGCAGGGCRGGACTGGGGAGCTGTATCCTCTGGGTGAGATGTGCTCACACACTGCCCTTCGTTCACGGCTTGAGGGGGCTCATTTGGATGTCTGACCTGSAGAATGGGATATGAAAGATAAAAGGGAGGTTTAGATTGGATATTCAGAAATATTTCTTCTCTGAAAGGGTGGTCAGGCCCTGGCGCTACCCAGGGCAGTGGTGGASTGACCATCCCTGTAGGGATTTATAGCCATGTAGATTTGGCACTTGGGGACAGGGKTCAGTGGTGGCCTAGGCACTGTTGGGACAGTTGGACTTGATGATCATAGAGGGCTTTTCCAACCTGAACCATTCCATGATGTTCCTGACAGGATCCGCGTGCCCCCTGGCTGCTCCACAGAGCTCAACCACTTGGGATACCAGTTCCTGCAGAGGCTCTTTGAGAAGCACGACAAGGTGGGCAGCACTGCCGGGGCTCCTGGGGAGGGGGTGTTCTGCTGGGCCTGCAGACTTGGGCACAGGTGCTGCCCTGACCTCCCCTGTGTGCCTGGGAGCATACAGAGCACAGGGAAGGGCTTTCCTCTGCCACAGTATTCCCTCTTTAGAGGCTTTGGGAGCAGGAAGTGGCCTCAGGGAGCTCTAGGCAGTCTGATGTCTTATCAGGGATGTGGAATTGTGGTCAGTACCCATGAACAAAGGTCAGTTTGGACCTTCAGGGTGTGGGTCTGAGTTGGCATCAAGCTGCTGTGGCCTCTGTAGTGCCTGGCTGCAGTGGGCAGGGGGGCAGGGAAGGAGGCAGGCAAGTGGGCAGGGAAGCAGGCACAGCTGCTGGCCACCAGCCATGGACCAAGCACTAGCATCTGCCAGCCTGGTGGAGGGCTGCCAGGCCAGAGAGGGAGAGAAAGCAACACATTTGTGCCAAACTCAGGCTCTGGGAGAGTGGGAGAAGGGGATGCATTGGATCTGCATGCACCTGCTCAGACTGGTAATTGAGATGTTGATGTGCATCTGGGGTATGGCAGCTCTGTGACCACGGGGAATGGCTCAGCAATGGCAGCACGGAGTGGACACGTGTCCCTGTGTGCCCAGATCAGTTCTGTGCCCACCAGGAATGGCAGCACGGAATGGACACGTGTCCCTGTGTGCCCAGATCAGTTCTGTGCCCACCAGGAATGGCAGCACGGAGTGGACATGTGTCCCTGTGTGCCCAGTTCAACTCTGTGGCCACGGGGAGTGGCAGAACTAAAAGTATTCACACCCCTGTGTGCCCAGGTGCCAGCAGGTCACCTTTAGGCACAGCCTGTGCTTGTCTGGTGGCCTTGGCCACATGCAGATCTCGGGCTGGTTGCTGCAGTGTGGGAGGCCAGGCTGGGCTGGTGCAGGCTGCTGTGGGACAGCTGGCTCCAGGACTGCCAGGAGCAGCAGCTCAGGGCTGTGGGGTGGGGTGGGTGGACAGGCCCTGCCTGGCTGCAGCTGCAGTCCCAGAGCGTGTTGGCTGCTGTGCAGCGCTGGCAGTCCCCGGGGCATGGGCTCCGTGCTTGCCCCGCTGCCATCGATCCTGGCCATCGACAGCATCCCTGTGACATTCCACAGCTGGGAGGTGACCATTGTGGCAGGGACCCCTCTGGGCACAGCTGGGTGCTGCCTGCCCTGCTGAGTGGCCATGTTTTGGCAGGACCAGGACGGAGCCCTGTCGCACACAGAGCTGCAGAACTTCTTCAGCGTGTTCCCCTGCGTGCCCTGGGGCCCCGAGCTCTACAACACGGTATGCACCACTGATAAAGGCCTGCTTTCCCTGCATGGATTCCTCTGCCAGTGGACGTAAGCTCAGTCCCTCTCCCTGGCCCTCGGTCACACCACCCAGCCCTTGCTGACCCCGCCRTGTCCCTCCAGGCTCGTGGCTTACCTGGACGTACGGCACTGCCTGGAGTGCCTGGGCTACTTGGGCTACCCCATCCTCTCGGAGCAGGACTCCCAGACACAAGCCCTCACAGGTACAGCCRTGCCCTGCCCCTGTGTCACAGCTCGGGTCCCTCCTGGCTCTCACCCCCTGTGTCTCCTGGCAGTGACCCGGGACAAGAGGATTGACCTGGAGAAAGGGCAGACACAGAGGAACGTGTTCCTGTGCAAGGTGCTGGGAGCGCGGGGCGCAGGCAAGTCTGCCTTCCTGCAGGCCTTCCTCGGCAGGAGCCTGGCGGTGAGTGGCTGCTCCYGGGCTGGAGCAGGAGGCACAGCCGGAGGTCCTGGAGCGATCTGTCCCGTGATGGCTCCTCCCTGCCCGTGGCCAGGCCCCCCATCGATGCTCTCCCTGCCTGTGCTTCCCACYCCCTCCGTGCTGGTGGCTTTGGTGTCCTTAATCCTGGCTAAYGGGGTGGGCCTGTCCCTTCTGCTTGTCCCAAGGGTCCAGAGGGGCTGTGCCTTTCCCTGAGATGGCCACAGTGATGCCAACATCCCCTGCCTGGTTGGGACAGCCCCACACCTCATGACAGGCCCAGGCTGCCCCTCAGGTGTCTGTCAGGCACCTTGGGGCASTGGGAAACGCTGTCTCTCCCTGCMCACCCTCATGTCCCCACTGTCTGASACCATGTTCTCCTTGGTGACAGGCCCAGAGGGAGAACCCAGGACAGCCATCCCTCTACACCATCAACACAGTGCAGGTCAATGGCCAGGAGAAGTACCTGATAGTAAGTGTGGGTGAGGAGGGAATCACACGGTGTCTGGCCCTCAGCAGGGCAGGACCGTGTCCCTGCGTCCAGGCACACAGGGCTGGGCTGTGGCTGGGCTGGCACAGTCATGTGCTGCTGTGAGGAACAGCTGCTGCCCTGGGACACTGCTGTGCCACACATCTGTCTGTCTCCTCTGCTCCAGCTCTACGAGGTCAGCGCTGACAAAACGTTCATGGAGCCATCGGACGCTGCATGCGACGTCGCCTGCTTCATCTACAACCTCAGCGACCCCAAATCCTTCAACTACTGTGCCAGCATCTATAAGGTAGCTGGCAGGGGCCCTTGGGGCACTTCACAGGGGTCCTGTTTGACCTCTGGAGCCCTCAGTTTTTGTSGCAGCCCCACATCCCCCAGGGCTTGGTCCGTAACCCTTGCTGGGGTTTCTCCTGTCTCCACAGCAACACTACCTGGACAGCCAGATCCCCTGTGTGTTTGTGGCCTCCAAGACAGACCTGCCAGAAGCCAGTCAGCAGCCAGGGCTCATCCCAGCTGACTTCTGCTACAAGCACTGCCTCCCTCCACCCTTCCACTTCTCCTGCCACAGCCAGGGACCACCCAGCACTGCTGTCTACACCAAACTGGCTACTGCTGCCACCTTCCCGTTAGTATCCTTCCCATGGAGGGGTGGGAGCACAGCCTGGGGAAGGGGCTGGGTCCCAGCCCTGCCTCTGCCACATTCTGCTTCTGCTTTGGTTTCTCTCCAGCTTTTGAGGTCATCTGGTGATTTTGGTGTCATCAGAGCATGCAGTGASASGACAAGGGGGATGGCCTTAAGCTGCAGGAGGGCAGGGATAGATGGGGTGTTGGGAAGGAGGCCGTGGCACAGGGTGTCCAGAGCAGCTGTGGCTGCCCCATCCCTASAAGTGTCCAAGGCCAGGCTGGACAGGGCTTGGAGCATTCTGGGACAGTGGAAAATGTCCCTTGCCYGTGGTAGGGGGTAGAACAAGGTGGACTTCAAGGTTCCTTTCCACCCAAACCATTCCAGGATTCTGTGCTCTGCTTCTACAAATAATTGAAACAGAAAAGCCTCTTCTTCTCCTAATTGCAGAGGGGGGAAGTTCCCTCTCCCTGTGTGTGTCTCTGGCAGATTTAGTAGATAGATCCTGCCACAGGAGTGTTTATTTTTGAAGCCCAAGATAAAAAATGCTGAAGAGGAGTAGCCAGCTTAGTTTGCCAAGGCCCACGGGGGGGTGGCAGCTATTTTCTCCCGATGAGATGGATCAGACTGAAAAAGAGGTCAGCGAAGCGAGACCTGTGTCACACAGCCTCCCTTTGGGAGGAGCTGCACCCCAGAGGGGCTGGGAACCGGGTAGGACAGTGCCAGGCTGGTCACAGGAGGGGAGGAGGATCCCTGTGTGTGGAATCACTCTGCTCCAGGGCTGGGAAGGGCGAGCACAGCTCCAGGGGCTGAGCCCTCGCGGGTAGAGCGTGCGGGAGCCTTGGAAGGCAGGATGGGATTACTAGTGAGTAGTTTTCCCTCCAGCTTCTTTTCAATAAACAACTTTATTTTTAGAGCTGACGCTTTTTTTTCCCCCTCCTCTCTGCAGTATTAAAATTTAAATATTCTTAATATATCTTAGGGTATGGGGTATAAATAAATAACAGCGTAATGGAGGGCCGGGGATTGGCTGTGCTCCCCCGATGTAGTGGGGAATGAATTATAGATGGAAAGAGAGAGGAGGGGAGCACGTTGGTGCAGGACAGCACGTGTTTGGGGAGGGACTGTGTACGCTGGGGCAGCGCCGGGCACTGTCCCTCGCTGCCCTTTGGTCCCTGTCACTGCTGTCCCCGTGGTGTCCCTGCTCTCCATGCCCTTGGAGCTGGAAAGGCAGTTTGACCCAGAAAGGCAGATACCTGCCTAATTATTTAGGTGTTGGAGAGCTGTTTCCAGGGCAGGGGAGGGGACAGGCACGTCCGTCCCCTTGGCTTGACGCTGATGCTGGGTGACGGGCACTCGGCTGGCAGGGACAGGGAATCTCTCGGAGCTTGCCCTGCAGCTGGGCTGTGGCCCCTGGTGCTGTGCTGACCCCGGGTGGGGTGGGAGCGCTGGGACAGCCACTGACCGGCCTCTCCTGTGTTTCYTTGCAGCCACCTGAACGCCGTGGAGATGGGAGTCGCCTCCTTCTGGCTGCGGGTGGCGCTGGGCGCGGCGGTGACGGCGCTGGTGGGCTTCACCCTGTACCGCCTGCTGGCCAAGAACAAATGAGAGCCACTCTCCCCCGTCCCCCGTGACACCGGCTCCCCATCCCCAGTGAGGGGCCCTGCCTCAAGYTGGTCCCTGGTAGGAACTCCTCCTTTGCCCCCAGCCTAGATTGCAGGACCAGTGAAGCCAGACCTCCCAGCACCAGCAGGATAAAGCCCTGGCACCAGCYAGCCTCACCCTGTGGCCTCCTGGCCCCTGTGGCCACAGGGCAGGCAGCTCTGCCAGGAGGGCTCTGCCTCACCAGCAGCTGGAGGATCACCCTCATCTTTTATTCTGTTCAGTTTTTTTAACGCTTGTTTTTAAGCTCAAACATGAGTGTTTCRGTGTCTGTTGGACTGGGCACGTCCCCTCCCCAGAGGGCTGTGCTGGTGCCCTCAATTCTGGAGGGGGCAACGCTGCCAGAGCCTCTGGGAGCTCCAGCAGCAGCTGAGCTGTCAAATGAGCTCATGGCTCCGGCTCCCTGGGGCCCATCTCCTGCTCCTGTCCCGCTTTCCCTCAGCCAGCGCAGGGAAAGGCAGCCAGGSAGGGAGGGCCAGGCAGTGAAACCCCCTCAGTGTTTCGGGGTCAGGCCTGGCCCCTCCTGCTGGGACACAGTGGCTGCTGTCCTGAGCTGAGGGGGCAGTGATAACCAGGGTCTGTCATGAGCTCTTTTGTCTTGTTTCTACCCAGAAATCTTGTGAGTCCTGTAGCGTGCCAGGCACTGYGTCCATCTGCCCTCCTTCCCTGCCACCTGCGTGGCCTGTCCCCTCTCCCCCACCCCTGGTCACCCATATTCATGGCCTCCAGTATTTGCAGGGCTCTGGGAGTCCTGGTAAGGACTGGGAGGACATTGGGTGCCCACTGTGTGCCCAGTCCTTCCRTGGCAGTGCCATCACTGAGCTGATGGACCCTGTGCCCCAGGGCCCGTGTCCTGCTGTCCCCTCTGTGTGGCTCTGGGCGTTTCCATCTCCTGGTACCAATGGAAGCTCCTTCCTGCCCTGTCCCCTGCCCACCCCAAGCTGGTGTCAGCTGCTGKGACTGAGCTCAGCACCCCACGGGGGCCAAAGCCCCACAGCATCCCTGCCTGCACATCCCAAAGAGCAAGGCCAGTGCCCATCCCCGGGGGGAGCCTGGGTCAGCCCCTGGCCGGTGCCACCAGCCCAGCCTYCCCCAGCAGGCTCAGGGTCAGTCTCTGCAGGCAGCTGCGGGGGCAGCTCCCAGGTACCACCTGGAGCTGTTTTTTCTGTGTTTYGTCTATTTAAATGTTTTACCGTGGCCTGGAGCCAGCGAGGGGGTTAAGAAGTCACTGGGCAGCACCAGTGTCCCTCCCGGGGACAGTCCCAGGGTGGTGTCCCCATCCTGCTGTCCCCAGCGCTGGCTGGCCGGAGGTCCCTGCCTATGCCAGAGCTGCTGTACCAGTCAGGTGCCCACTCACTGCTGGCCCCTGGTCCTGGCACTGCCGGGGCCATGTCCCCCGTGTTCCATGTCCCTCTTGGTGCCCACTGTGCATGGCTCTGCCAGCCGGGCCCGTGCCTGGTGTCTCCCTGCTCCGCGTCTGCCGGAGCTGTGSCGTTTTAGGTTCGTTCTCTACAGCAAAATAAATTTTTACACACCTTGCGCTTGCACACCATGTCCTGCATCACCTGGGAGCCTTGGTGAYCCCTGTCCCTGCCAGGGCTGCACAAAGCCTGGGGCCTGCCTGGGCTGTGGTGGGAACAGGGACACCCGTGGGCCCAGGGCTGCCCTGTTTGAGGGTGGTTCCCGGGATTTGGGGCAGGAGCTGAAGCCCGGTGTGGTGGGACAAGGTTTGGGGCTGGTCAGGGCTCCTTGGTGCCGGGGAAAATGGATCCCTGTGCAACAAGTGCCAGACAGTGGGGAAGGATCCTGTTTTTCTCTTCCCCGTATCCAAGGGAAGCGGAAGGTTTTGGATACCCTGAGAGCCACGGATCTCTGTGTCCATCCCTGTGTGGGGTTCAGGGCTCCCCACATCACTGCAGCCACTTTCCCCCCGCACCCGCAGCTCCCGGGGCTGTTCCACCTGCCCTCCCTGCTCCCGTTTCCCCGTGGCAGCTTTTTSCTCGGCCATTTCCATCCCTGCAGCCTCAGCCACGGGCGCGGGGCACAGGGAATGTGGGCACAGATGGAGGAAAGGATTTTCCAGAGCCTCTGCACTGAGACTGGGTGGGGTTGGGCTGCTCCCACACGTGAGGGGGTCCCTCGGGGCTGTGGGGTGGGAGAGGAGACCCTTCCCACACGGCCAACCAGGGGACAGGGATGGTGGGGACACAGCTGCGGTGCCAGGCAGAGGAGGGGCCRGGACACGCGGTGCTCCCTGGTGACTCCAAACCAGGCTGGATCCCACGGGAGCCGCCGCCTACGTGCCCTGCTGTGTATTAATAGCACCGSGGAGCGGAGCCATGGGCACCGTGCTGGGACAGGCACGGGTGTGGGCCAGGGGACCCCATCCACGGCCACACACAGCCCCCGGGCAGGAGCCTGGCAGGGCTGGCAAGCCCAGAGCTCTCTGGGGGCACCCACGGGGCTGAGCTGTGGCTCCAGGAACTGAGGATAGCACCAAGGATGGGTCCTGGGGACACCCCTGCCCTGCCCGGGCGTCCAGGGGAGCCTGGCCTGGGTGACACCGTGAGTGTCACATAGGGGTGCCAGTTCAAGGGATGCAGTGCCAKGCTGCCCCATGAGCACTGTGCTCCACTGCGGTGGAGGCCCCACATCCCCTGTGTCATGGGGGATGCATCCAGACTCTGCTGGCCTGTGGGTGTAGGGTCAGGAGAGAGGGAATGTTTGCAGTCACCTGTGCCAAATTCAGGTACTGGGTACTTGGTACTGGGTACTGGGATGTTGATGTCCACACTGGGATGCTGATGTCCATTCTGGGGTCGTGATGTCCATACTGGGATGCTTGTACTGTACCAGGATATGTGTTCCTGTAGCAGGGTGCAGCTGCAAACACACGTAGCAGGATGTGGGAACTGCTCTGGAATACGTGCACCTGTACTGGGATGGAATACAGGTTCTCATTCCAAGACACAGATGCTGTGCTGGGATTCAGGATTCACCACACCAGGATGTGAGTACCCATACTGGGACGTGGGTAGTGGGATGCAGGTATCCMCAGCAGGATGCACTGGGGTGCAGGTACTGGGCCAGGAAATGAGTGACAGTACTGTAATGTAAATACCAAAACTGGGATGCAGATACCACTCTGGAATGCAGGTATCACACCAGGATCTCGTTACCCTATTGAAATGTGGTTCCCATACCAGGATGCAGTTCCCATACGGGGGTGCAGTTCCTATACTGGGATGCGGTTCCCATACCGGGATGTAGGTTCCCATACAGGGATGTAGATTCCCATACCGGGATGCGGTTCCTATACCGGGATGTAGGTTCCCGTACCGGGATGCAGTTCCCATACCGGGATGCAGTTCCCATACCGGAATGCTGTTCCCATACAGGGATGTAGGTTCCCATACCGGGATGCAGTTCCCGTACCGGGATGCAGTTCCCATACCGGGATGTAGGTTCCCATACCGGGGATGTAGGTTCCCGTACCGGGATGCAGTTCCCGTACCGGGATGCAGTTCCCATACCGGGATGTAAGTTCCCATACCGGGATGTAGGTTCCCGTACCGGATGCAGTTCCCATACCAGGGTGCAGTTCCCATACCGGGATGTAGGTTCCCATACTGGGATGCGGTTCCTATACCGGGATGTAGGTTCCCGTACCGGGATGCAGTTCCCATACCGGAATGCTGTTCCCATACTGGGATGCAGTTCCCATACCGGGATTCAGTTCCCATACCGGGATGCGGTTCCTATACCGGGATGTAGGTTCCCATACCGGGATGTAGGTTCCCATAC